GTAAACGGTTTTTTTGAATTTTTGTTGTTGTATACATTCATTAAAACAGCACGTGGTAAAATACGTTTAATAGCAGAAATATAAGGTGACAAATACAACAATGTATTCGTAAAATTGTAATTAATGGCGCACTCAGGCTAAGATTTGATTTTGCATCTAGGAAATTTTGGTTATGAAGTAATCGTACGTTCGTTCGCAGAGTTTCTCTTATATTTAAGCTGATGTGAAATGTAATACTTATTAGCTAGGTGGCCAACCTTGTGTGTAAGTTAATACAATGTATTGAACATCCATATCATACATAGTCAATTGACAAAACAGGGTATCCGCTGACCAGAATTAAGTGTAATTCAAGTTGAGTGTAATTCGCTCTTCATAAGAAAATCATTTACGATCAAGCAATGCGTGTTAATAGTACAAATTTAACTATCAGCTTACTAAAAACAATTTTTTTTGCTAGCCTCGCTTCCTTATAAAGAATAATGCTCATTAAGCAATCCCATCAGCATTATTAGAGTAACAATCAACTTAAAATTGATGCCGGCTATGTTAGCTTTGTTGGGGTTAAATTCATACAGCTGAATCATTGTTCCATTGACTTGTTTTTCCACTTGGGTGCAGCTTGCGTTTTCCGCGACAGTGACATTGTATCGAGCACGAGTCGTGACTGTGAAGTCCTTGTCTTTGATGTCTTCCAGTGAAATCAGTGTGTTGTTAAGACCATACAGTATTGTTACCTTCTCCGGGTTTGTCTTGTAGATCACAGTCGTGTTCAGTTCCAAGAGATTCTTTTCAAATCCGTCTTTCAGGGTTGGAGGTGTTGACGAGTTTCCCAGACATAAGTGTCCATTCGAGTCCAGTAAACTCACTCTTTCGGACGACAGCCTCACCGCTCTTTCCTCGGGAATGGATATGTATCTTCCATAGACCGGAAATCCTTTCCAGTACACTGGAGCTTTTGCCAGTACATATCTCGTTACAAGAAAACCAGCCGCGATTCTGGTAAATAGTATGGTTCGTGAACCACGTATCGCTTGAGACTTGATCACTGGAGTAGAAAACTTCACCGGCTTTATTGGCGTAGTTTTGGTAATTTTGAGCTTTAAAGACGAACCACCACGGCGACTTGAGCTAGTTCTGCTGCTTCCTCGCCTGCCTTTGCTTCCGCTGTTCCATCCGCCACGACTACTACTACGACTAGACCCTCCTCGACCACCTCCCCCTCGTCCACGTGCATCAACATCGTGTAACAACAGAACGATAACCGAGATTGAGAGGACGGCAACTGTCAGAGGCTTCATATTATAGGACCTGTGCAAGACGTAATCTACGGAAGAGCTCTCTGTACAAGTAGAAATCGCTAGAAACCAAAGTAAAACGCGAGAAGATATCCGATGCTTTTCTCACATATGAACTGATTAGCCTGAGCTGCACTTTGAATTTATACGTAGTTGATAAGAATAATATTCCCGATCTGGCAGCTGTTGTTTCGTCATGGCTGAAACCGAAACAACGCTTTCTATCTTTCCATGTTCTTTCTTTACGAATGATAGACTAAAGACAAAACGCCACAAAGGTCAAATGTAAACGCGAAGAATCTCTAACAAAACAGCAAATATTTGTGAAAGATAGTCTTCTCTAGAAGAAGCATTTGAGTCTTTTGGAGCTCGTTGGCAGATGAACACAACACTTTACCAAAATCCAACAGGAGACACGTAAAATTCAGGGGGGGCCAACGAGAATATAGTTCAAAACCACTTAAACATAGCATTGTTAAACGTATTTTAGTATTTAACCGGTAGATATAGGTATATTTTTATCCCCTAAGAATTTTCATCTGTTCGGATTTCCTAGCTGAAATTCTAGTGATCCGAAAATTATAGGGATCAAAACTGATCTTTTCGAAAAATTTTAGCCAGAAAAAAGGCTCATGGAAACAGTCTAGGTGACGTTTCTAGGGTAAAAATCCGTTAAAAAAGGGCAATTATACCATATTTTAGATGTTCGAAAATCCTAGGAGAGGCAGGCAAGCAAGAAATTTTACAACAAATGTTCCGAAAATTCTAGATCTCAAATCGTCTTCCGAACAGATATTTTCCGAAAATTGACGTTGGGTGCTCCTAAAAATGGGTCAAATTTATATTTAGAACCCCATGACTACTGGATTGATTATGTAAACATCGATTTGCGTCATCAGCATGGAATTTCTTCTCCAGAGTCGCAGACGTTCCTCCGCGCGAAACGTCCCCAGCGGCGAAGAGCGAGGAGAAACGGAGGTTTTCGCAGGCTAGCTATATAGGTTATGCTACGTAAATAAATTCCTTACTCTTCCTTCTTTTTTGCATGTTGTCGTGCAGGAGTTGTCAGCAGGACGTTTCTCTCTCATATTGATCGTCAGGAGACATTTTTCATTCGTCTGTTCTTAACCCTTAACCTTTAAGAGGTGGGATTAACTTTCAATTTCTCCTCATAGTAACACTTCCTAAAGAAACATAAAGGTCGCGAGAAAAAAGCGGAGATGATTAACACTGAGCAAAGCCCCCCCGGGGGGGACTCCGAAAGGGGAGGGGAAGCTCGTCGGAAATTTTGAATTAAACCCTTAAAGTAGACCGATCTAGGCGTTGCTCAAGCTTTTTTTGATTCCTAAAAGAGACCATGTTAAAGCACAGACAATATATATTGTTGGTTTTCACATGACGTCACTAAAATTCAAACTACAAAACTATCGATCCCACAGAGATTTTACTTTCGCGATGTATTAGAGCAGCTGAAAACTAATTTTCATACAAATTTCGCTTCAAGAGGGTTCTTGGTTTTGTGATAGAGTACCCTTGAATTTCTAAGCTTTTGCGTGACGCGGCATTCTTCGTACTCCGACCGATTTCGCTAAAGAAGTTAGTAAGGTCATTTTCCCTTTCATATGGAACTTTAAGCCTGATAAAATCAAAAGAAACACACTGACAGACGCAATCTCCAAAGGTGGCCTTAACATGCATGGTCAATTTCGCGGACGTAGAAAAATCGCCAATGTTCATCGGATGGTCATCATTGGTGTGGGCTTCTTGACTCTCATCTTGAAAAATTCGGAGGCTCTTTTATGTTTCCGTGTAATTACGATTTGAAATTCTTAGATCTGGAAAGTGATTAATCAGGTGAGATCAAACATGGACGGCTCTGATTTGACTTCTTAGAGCAATAATTACAACCTCGTTTCCAGCACTCTCGTACCCAGAGTCCTCGGGCTCTTTGGTCATCGTGCGACCTCCCGCTGACCAGAGAGCCTGAAGACTCTAAGTACGAGATTGCGTTTCGAGCGGCCTCTCTCGCTTGTCATCCTGGGATGATTCAAGGGAGACCCTAGGAAGGGAAATGTTATAATCAACGTTCATCTTCCTCCCCAAGGGCTTCTCGGTTTTCAAAATGCCCCCATACTGGAAAACAAGGAGGCGCTGGGACAAGGTTAATCAAAGTTAAAATGTGACAGAGTCACAAGAAAGAATCGAGGCTTGAAATTAAATACGTCATCTACTCAACTGTTTGACCCCAAACTGTAACACGCATGATTTTATTGAAAAAGCTCAGCAATCAACATATTCTTACAGTTTGAACACATGTTGACTGCACGACCTTTTTTGAAGACAAAATAAAAGTATGAGTGCATGAAATAAACTAAAAGCATCCACAGGGCGCCCATACCAAGTGTGTGACCGTTTGCGTGCTTTAAATTTGATGAGAAATTTATGGGAAGGAAGCGTTTTAACGTTTGAGTGCTAAAAATTCGCCTTTTACCCCGGCAAAAGAACGACAATACACAACATTAAAGTAAGTTCACATTTATTTTGCCAATATTTACCAATTATTGGATGAGGCTCAGTACGGTATGAAGAATTATGCGTATTAAAAAGGGTGTTATCCGCCGAGGTCGATCGAAGGCTCAATAGGGGTACACGCTCCTTGATCTGCATAATTCTTCATATCATACGGAAGCCGAATCCAATGATTATTTCATTATTCATTCAAAATATTTCCAACTGAGTCAACAATACATGCATAACTCTATCCATGTAATGCATAACCGTTAACCTTTTCCTCAGAAGTTTTTAGTTATAACGAGATGTTCAATTCTAGCAGACATTCTTCAAATAGCAATTGCTATCGGTTAAGCGGTATTTCTTCTTTGCATAACTAGTGAAATCTTCCATCATTTCACTTGCTCTGCCAAGATAGCTGAGCTACCCTGCCTTGTACTGCTGTCCCTTTTTCTGTCGATATCTGTACAGGTGACGTCAATTTTACGGATATCGGCAAACATCTTTTTCAACACTAGCTAGTCATGAAGAATTAGTAGCGGTGTTTAAGCCAATAAGAAACGGAGAAATATTTTGAACGAATAATAATAATTAATATTCATGGCAGATGAAATAATGGATCGTTTCGAAAAAAGCAAACTTTCACGCACTGGTTTCAAGGTAGGTCAAGTCAGTCAAATTTATTGTATATATACGCTTAACTTTTGTGAAACAACTCACTAGCTAGTTTACAGGTATTACCCACAATCCAAAGCTACAATACTATCAAACATACTTTATCATGTCATTCTTTGCTTCCTTGATGTAAAATTTGCGCAATCTCCCCATTTCGGACGGTATAGTGTCTGGACTGGGTCTTATACATGCATATAAGTAGAACGGAAAAAATAAGTTCATTCATTCGCATTTGGTTAATAATGTGCGTCAGAGAGAGTTGTACGATTGCTGTCAGTAATTAACCGGTGTGTTAGAATTACTCTGAGGCAGTTAAACACGATGGGGGAATCTTCACTGGAGACCTAGTTTTAATTAAGCTTCGTAAAAACAAAACTAAAAAACTGATAACGTTATTTACGAACAACTCATGTACAGACGCACACCTCCAACAACAACAATAATAACCGCAATAACTACGATTATGACGATATGTGTAACACTGATGCCGGCCTTGTTTTCTGCATTGGGGTTAACCTCATACAAATCAATCATTGTTCCATTGATTTGCTTTTCCACTTGGGTACAGTTAGTATTTTCAACAACGGTGACATTGTAACGAGCACGAGTCGTAACTGTGAAGTTCTTGTCTTTGATGTCTTCCAGTGAAACTGTGTTATCAACGCCATACTTTCTGATAACTTTCTCCGGGTTTGTCTTGTACATCACAGTCGAGTTCAGTTCAAACAGATTCTTTTCTATTCCGTCTTTCAGGGTCCGATGTATTGAGGAGTTTCTCAGAGTGAGACATAAGTTCCCATTTGAGTCCAGTAAACTCACTCTTTCGGACGACAGCCTCACAGCTCTTTCCTTAGGAATGGATACGTATCTTCCATAGACTGGAAATCCTTCTCGGTAAACTGGAGCTTTTTTCAGTACATATATCGTTACAAGATAACCAGCCGCGACTCTTGTAAACAGTTTGGTTCGTGAGCCACGTATCGTTTGAGATTTGATTACTGGAGTACGGAATCTGACCGGTTTTATTGGTGTAGTTTTGGTGATCCTAGATTTTGAAGATCCTGAACCACGGCTTCCTCCTCGACTACTGCGTCCTCCACGACTCCCGCCTCCTCGACCACCTCCTCCTCCACGTCCTCCGCGAGCATCACCATCATGTAACAACAGAGTAACAGTCAAAATTACGAGGACAGCAGTTGTCAGAGGCTTCATGTTGTAACACCTCGATAGATTGTAGATGTCGTAGAAACGTTCGTGACTTAACCCGATGCGCACACAGAATAAAATGACCACGAATTACACATCCATGCAATTTTTAATAACGGATAGAATAACACTTCAGGTTAATTATGCTATGGAAACAAATTCCTTTCTCTTCCTTCTTTTGTTGGAAAATTACTGCTACTTCATTAGGCTAATATTCTAAACATTTTGCGGTTTCTGGTTATAAAGTTGAGACCTGCTTTTTTATCGCTCGCACAAGCTTGTTCAAGCTTGTTCAAGCACAAAAACGGAAACTCATTTCTTACTTAAACTATTCTATATGGTTATGCTTTGTTTTGTTTTTAATTTTATCTAATCTTCTTCTTTGGGGGTGATGGCGGAACGCTGGGGGAGAGGATAGGGGTGGGGTTCTGATTACTGTTTAGATAGCAACTGGTTCGACTATAAGCAGATAAACTCATAACATGGCAGCAAAATCCAAGTTTTTCTTAAACCATTTCTGAATTCTAAAATGTTTTGTCGACATGTTGTCGTGCAGGCGGTGTTAGCAGGAAATTTTAGCTGCAATTTCACGTTTTACGAAAGTGAGAATTTTTTTGATTCCTGGCTGCATCGTATTTTCGATTCCGAAAAAGTTAGGTTTCCTTTCTCTACGAAAAATAGCTTAACCTGGGAGTGAAATGGGAAAAATTAAACTTCAGAAAACCGTAGGGACTCTATTAGATAAGCTTCGAAAATTGTACATGAATGGAACGGTCATCTAGAAGTTTTTAGCCTTCTCAAGCCGTTAGAAAATTCTAGGCAATTTTTGCTTCTCCGAACAGATATTTCACAGAAAACAGCCGTTGGGTGCCCCTGAATTTGATGGTGCCGCTCATTTGAACACAAGTTGCTTGCCTTACTCTCACGTCAAAGCCACATGACATCACTGGCACCTTTTCTTTCGCTTCAAAATCACGTGTGCGCTAACGTACGTAGCAAAAAACGCGTCTGTGGAAATCAATCTTAAATTGATCATTACTTAAAAAAAATGTTGTTTACAATATTTCTCGAGAATTTGTTTTCTATTCTCTTGCTTTTAGCTAATCGAGTACCCCGCCAGTGATCTGGGTACGAGAATAGGTTTTAAGTTCCGCAAATGGAAAATTACTGCTCTTTTGCGGTTACTACTGATGGTAGAACAACGAGCGTGTTGATGTCACTGCGTGATTTATAAACAAAGGAGAAAGTGTGTGAAATACCAGGAGAGAAGGAAGTAGTGCAAGGGGTTTTTGTTTTGTAAATTTACGTATAAGTACGTGAAATATTGTCCTTATCCGCTGTCTATAAGCAAATTTTTGTAATTCGTGATCAGTTTAGTTTGCGAGTGCGTATTAGAATTAGGTCGAAACTTTCATCAAGATACCACAGCATGAAAACTTTGACAGTTGTCCTCGTAATTTTGGTTTTTGCTGTTCTGTTGCTACATGATGTTAGAGGTGGTCATGGTTCGGACAAGTGTTCGGCAAATTCAGGGTTAAACTTCAAAATTTCCAAAACTATGCCAATAGAACCAGTGACATTTTGTACTCCAGTAATCAAATCTCAAACGATACGTGGATCACAAATAACCGAACTATTTACAAGAGTTGCGTCTGGTTATTTCGTAATGAGATATGCCCTGAATAAGGCTCCAGTTTACCGTGAAGGATTTCCAGTCTATGAAAAATACGTGTCCATTCCTGAGGAGCGAGCCGTAAGAATTTCGTCCCAAAGAGTGAGTTTACTAGACTCGAATGGAAACTTATGTCTGGGTTACTCCTCAATACCTCGAACCCTGAAAGACGGACTTGAAAAGAATCTCGTGGAACTGAAAACAACTGTGATCTACAAGACAAACCCGGAGAAGGTACATATAACCATACTGTATGACGTTAACAACACAATTTCACTGGAGGACATCAAAGAGAAGAACTTCACCGTTACGATTCTTACTCGTTACAATATCACCGTCGTAAGAGACACTGACTGTACACAAGTGGAAAAACAAATCAATGGAACAATGATTGAGATGTACGAAACTAATCCCAATTTTAATTCTCAAATAATCTCTGTAATAGTTTTTTCGGTATTTTTTTTACTTCCAGTCACCTGTGGGTGCTGTTTTTGTTGCTGTTTTGTGGTAGTTAACTGTCATTCTGTATTCTGAACACTTCGTAAGAAATTTAAGATTTAATTTTATTTTGACTTGGCTTAAAACTACGAATGTAGTTTTCATAGGTCATTTGCACGATGGAGGCATTTTACTGTTAACAACGCTATTAGACTTCGCGCAAAGTATATACATTAAAGCATGTGTTAATTATTCACAGATGTCAGTTTAGTCGGAGTCGCATCGCCGTTTCGGGAGCGCGTCCGTCCCAACATGCCCAAGCCATGGACCAAGAGATGTCTCTTCATCTTCTTCAAGCTCTGCTCGGCCACTTATTTGTTCATTAACCTCGTCGACATCACAAGCTGTTTTGAAAGCTTAGCGGCAGCCGGGGATGACAAGCTCGATTGAACTTCGAAAATTCCACCAAGTTTGATAGTTAAAACTCGACAGAAAACTCTCAGGTATTTTCAGTTTTCGATGTCGAATTTGATAGTCTTTTTGCTGGTTGCTATAATTCTAATTTAGTTTCTCTGGACCATTGCTATTAAACCAGGGGTGTAATGGCCCTACAGAGAAATTATCATCGTTAGTCGACAAACTCCTTCAGATTATAGCACAACTCAGACAACTGTACAACAAAAGTCCTACATAGAAAATACGAAAATCCCAGCGGACTTCATACTTGTCTCAATGGACATAACGAGCGGCTCAAGAGGAGGGAATACACACGGCATGCAGAGTTTTCGAAACATTCTACACATAAACCAACCTCCTATACTTAGACAACTAGTAGAACAATACCCTAAACGGCTTTCAATGTGTTAGGAATCTGGCTTTATGAGATAACCAGACTTCTAAGTCAGTAACCGTTAGAATAGTAAAGAATCTGTTGGAACTGAAGTCACTGAAGATGACTGTTTAGGGGCACCCAACGAGAACATAGTTCAAAACCACTTACGCAGAGCATTGTTGAACGTATTTTAGTATTAAACAGTAGGTATAGGTATATTTTCATCCCCTAAAAATTTTTCATCTGTTCGGATTTCCTAACTGAAAGTCTAGTGATCCGAAAATTATAGGGATCAAATCTTACTTTTTCGAAAATTTCAGCCAGAAAAAAGGCTCCCGAAAATTCTACGTCACCTTTTTAGGGTAAACTGAAAATCCGTTAAAAATGGGCAGTTATCAATACTATGAGATGTTCGAAAATCATAGGAGAGGCAGGCGAGCAAGAAATTTTGCAATAAATGTTTCGAAAATTCTAGATCTCCAATCGTCTTCCGAACAGAAAAAAATTTACGTTGGGTGCCCTGACTGTTGGTTAATTTACAATACAAATCAGGAGGAAGGTATATCGAGACTAGATGGCGTAAATAACACACAATTTCACCGGAAGACATAAAAAAGAAGGACTTAATTTTTTAAAAAACCCACTTTTTTGCGAGTAGTCTGTTATGAAATTCTAACTTGTTTACAATAAGTTTAAGTTTTCGTCTTCCCTTTCTTTTTTCCGTGCAAGATATTGTTGTGCGAATGGTGGCAGGAAGTTTGTGTACCGTAGTATAATTATCGTCATTCATGCTTGAAATGATCGTGACACACGTCCGTATAGTAGTTTTACACCGTGACGGTCATTTGTCAAAGGAGCTATGTCACGATGATATTGCAGTTTAGATCAGCAATTCTGTGCTGATGTTATTACTTAATAGACCTTGTCACAGTTTCGATGCCATCTTGACGAGTAGGCAAACGTGTGAGAAATTACAGTGTTTGTATTAGAATCTAATGTCGAATAATTTCCGTAAAGCGGCTGTTCTGAAAAAAATATCAATTGTAAACTGAAGCTACAAAGCAAAGGATTGTCCTAAAATAATTTGGGGGCGTACGTGTACTTAAATTTCTCCAGAGGCTTGCTTTAGATTTTCCATATATTTGTCTGTAATTTTCCCGGGACTTTAATTTCTTACAGACAAATGTGCAGAAAATTTTAAAAAGTGGTTCTAGGTCTTCTAGTGCATTAAACGCCCTCAATTTTTTTCAGGAGAATTCCTTAGGAGTAAAGCTTTAGTTTACAAATCATATTTTTGTCAGAACAGCCGTTCTACGGAAATTATTCGACATTAGATTCTCACTCAATCATTGTAATTTCTCAGGCGTTTGCCTACTCGTCAAGATGGCGTCAAAAACCGTGACAAGGTCTATAGAGTGTTTTCACTCACGTGGCCAGCATCTATGCAGATTTATTGGAACAAAAGAAAGCGTTTGCATAAGAAAAGAGTTCAACTCCCACAGGATTGGTTTGGGACAAAATCATGGCCGCCGTTTCATTGTTTTGGGACACCAATATGGCCACCATGACATCATGTGAAAACACTCTATTACTTCCTTTACCCATGGACAAAAATGCTCCTGTAGAAGGCTAATTTTGTCAACCGAAATATTGGCCTCCAATAAATCAACCTTTTGCCGTAGTGTCAGCCTTGCATTCAGTTTTGTTTTAGCTCCTGTAGAGTTATTATCAAACCGCAAATTTCATCATGTAGACAAGGATCGGAGTACCAACTATTATAATTTGTTTGGGGGGGGATTTTTGTAGGCATAGTAGTAAGGCTTGAAAAGGTTGCCCCAATCCATGCTCATCTTGCCACCCTCTGCAGCAGACGACAGGAAA